AAAAAAAAAAAGAACTTCTGCTAATAACTGTTGCATAGAGAAAAAGCAACTCAGATCAAGAAAAGTTTGAAAGAAAAAAGTGCTGTTACTGCAGCAGTAGCAGCAGCTGTAACCTCTAAAACGACAATGAGAAAAACAGAATGAGTAAGAAACATGGTAAAATATGCAAATATGTGATGTATCATATCATTAAAAAAAAAAAACGAGGATTGATGAATAGAATTTTTTCTTTTTTTGTTGAAAGCATGTCCTTCACAAAATTTTTGCTTCTTTTAACCAAAAGAAAAGAAAAAAGAAAAACAACAAAATGAAATAAAAAATGAATAAAAAAAACCCATCACCTCTCTAATGCCGCAACATTGGCGGGTAACAAGCAGCCACCTAATCCGACAACCAATCGATGAGTGGAATTAACCAATTTGTCGAAGGACTGACGACAGCAGCAGACGACAACGGATGGACGGATGGACAGACAGGCGACTAGTAGAAGACAAATTTGGATGAAAAATGAGTCAACGATTAACTGGATAAACGAACGAGCATAGGATGAAACAGGATCCGATAGGATGCGATGCAATGGAATGGGATGCGGTAAGACGAAATGAATGTATTTCAGACAACGATGTCACCAAGTTATTGACCATATCAACCAACTATTCCCTCCTGCACATATCAACAGACAATTTGTGAGCCATTCTCGGCTTATAGTAGTGATTTTTATGTCCTTCTCATTCCATAACATCGTATATCATTTGTACAGTTTTACAATACTTGCACTATCACGACACATCAAACTTTATTGGGCCGTTAAAGAAGTTTAAGCTATGAATACATCATCGCTGAAAACGTTTACACAAGTAAACACTGATCTGCCGGTCACTATCCGTTTAACTTCTCAACCTCCGTTTAACTTCTCAACCAACCTTACATATAATAGTTTTTGTTGACGTCGTTCTGTATGTCCAGGAAAATTTTTTAGTATGTCTACTGCTCAATCACCACTTATCTGCTTATCCACTTATTTTTCTGTTCTCTGTTTAAGTGTATAGCATTTAAAGCTTGAAAAAAAAAAAAAAAATAGAAAAGTCAAAGAAAAATATTAAATATAAAAAGTTCATTTAAACTAGAAATATCGCTCTTTGATAAATTGACATTTGAAGGCATTATTCTGAGTAAATTTTTTATCAAAACATCTATTAGTCCCCTCAACCAAAACCAGTTAATAATAGGTTAGCTTTTTGAATATGACAACTCTTTATTTTATTTTATTTTTTTTTTTTTCAAAACAACAGATATCTGTCAAATAAGTGAAGAAAAAAAAAGCAAAACACCATTTGATGATGAAAGACTAAACCAATTTTTTTTTTTTTTTTTTTTCGAAATAAATAAATGAACAGATAATTGAACATTTGATGTAACTATAAATTGAAAAATTATTTAAATTGATCTCTTAGCAAACAGAAAAAAAAAACTTCCCCATATATTCTTTTTTCCTATTCTAACCATCGTAATATTATATATTGTGAAGTAAATTTCAAAAAAAAAAAAAAAAAAATTTTTCTTCCAAAGAAAGTAACCAGCAAAAAATCACTGCAATTCACTATTAGCATCAGAAGAAAAAAAAAAAAAAGAAAAAAAGGTTGAAAATAAAAAAGTACTAACTTAGTAATTAAGAAAGTAACCAATTAATAAAATGCATAATAAAAACATTTTGGTGTTCAACTGTGGTATCATAAACTTCTCACTGAG